GATTAGGCAGCATTATGCCCATGCACCGCGGCACGAGCCGCCGCTCCGAGCGCCCTGGTGCCTGGGCCTGCCCTTGCCCAAAACGCACGGGGGCAAAAACGGGCTTCTCCCTCACTCTGCTGCATGGGGCACCTTCGGTTCTGCTACAGCCCCAAAACACGGAAAACAAACAAGAAAGTGTGTTTAGGAGGCTGCCCCGGTGCAATGAGGAAATGAAATGGGCAGCGAGAGCAGGGGCCTGGCACCTCTTGCAATTTGATAACCCAGGGATGAGGCAACACGCAGCGAGGTGGATACCCGAATGGAAAATTTTCTTATTCCTACATCTTTCCTGGGTTGTGCTAGCCCTGACCCTCTGCATATAGAGCAGTGGATTAATCCCGTCTTGTAGGCGGAGAAACAGCCTGGAACGGAGAGGCCGATGTCCCCAATCCCAACGGGGCGGCTGCAGTGACCCTGGACGCACGGCGGTGCCGGGGCGGGAGCGCGCGGCCCTGCTCCCCACATCCCGCTGCGCCAGGGCCGGAGCCCTCGGGAGACTCCCCGTGCGGAGAGCAGGGCAGCAGCGACGTGGGCAACGCGGTGCCCGCGGGAGCCCGCGCGGGACCCCGCGAGGGAGCGGAACTGGCAGCCCCCTGCCCTCCTTGCAGCAGATGGTACCATAAAGAAAACGGAACTTTGAGCTGCTTGGTGGGTCTTGGGGCCGGAAAACAAAGTATTCCGCTCCCCTCTCCAACGCTTGGGCGCCGCGCTCCGGAGGCGCGGGAGCCGGGATGCCAGGAGCCGGGATGCCAGGAGCCGGGATGCCGCTTCGCACGCCAGCGCAAAATGGCTCCTTGGGTAGCGGTGCTGGGGGAGGAGGGGATCAGTCACTTATTAAATGAATTAATCAGGGCTCAGCGTTTTCATTTTGAAGAGGCTTCGGGCTTATCCTTGATTTCGGCGGCACTGGATTTGCAGAGATCAGGAGGGAAGGGGAGATTTCCAACACCTGCTCCCCGGGAGCTCTGCCGGCA